ATTGATTCTGTTAATTTTTTTAAACATCGTTGGTCAAATAGCTTAAGAATTATATAAATACGTTGTGAGATTTATAATATTTTAATTAGGGCATTCCTGATTAGGTAAATGAAGATCGCTTTGGACGACAAAACTATATTTTCGTAACTGATAATTTTCTCTGCACATTTAAATATTCAAGGTTACCGATGATAATTTAAAATAGTACTGTTTTGATTTATACGCTCGTTTTCGTGGGCCATTTATAATATTTATATAATTATTTTATTGAAAGTGATTCAGAATTTCGATGTTACAGCAAAATACTCACCTATTTATTTAAAAACTGAGCAAATGCAAAATGTTAAAAAAAAATATATATAACGGCGATTAAGGTATTTTGCCACCATATTCCTACCTTAATAATTAAAAAAAATCTGTCTCATACCTGCAAACCTTGAGGACAAACACCTAGTGAAGATCAAAGGATTAAAATTACATAATGCTAATCTTTTAATTACCGTGAATTTAACCACGCCTTTACCAGGTGGTGTCAGCATAATACACATGCATTGTATTTACACAGTACTAGACTGAAGCAAGGATTTGTATAGTAAGACAAATCCTCGACTGAAGTAATAGGGGAGAATACAAACGTGAATTTCTATTATACTATCAGTTATATATGTTGTTCCACATATCCGTCGAAAAAAAAATCATAAAAAAATTCGATTGTATGATTTACTTTTATTACTATAATCATATCAGAAATCCTTAAAATATAAATCGTAAATTTTAATTTAAAAGAATGCACGGCTGATCACTTTTCTTTCTGAATTGTTAGTTGGTTAATAGCTACACCAAAAGTCGTTGATGCGCTTTAAATCGCGTTATTAGATGATTAACGAACAAGACTTTAAATGAGATTAATCCACTCCCGGCATGCTAAAAGACTTAAACTACGTCACATAAGTCAGGAAGTTTGAATAAATAGAATTAATAATTCCCAATTTTCTTCTTTATTAGTTTTCATATCCAGATAAAACTTGGTGAATATGTTTTTAATGGTATTATGAACATAATAAGATGATAAGTAAAAAATCGCGAATTTTCCCTTTAAGCTATATGCCAAGTTTAATGCTTTTACCATTAAATGATCAATTGTGCTGATATCCGCTAGACTAATTCAAGCTAGAGGGAATTATAGACAACTATGCTTAGACTACCTAACATTGTATATCCAATTAGATTTATCATAGACCAATCAAACTCATCGTTGCACACCAAACGGGACGCCACTGGTTCGATAGGATAATCGTATCCTGCAATTCTGGCATCGGCAGATCTAATACCAGTTTTTAAAGAAAAGACTGTTGTGCGATAAGACACATGTCAAAGTTAAAGAGTAACAGTTTAATGCCTTTTAATATGTTTTCATCTGATATTGAACTGAGGATGTATATCCACCAAATATTTTGATACTGACTACGTCGAATATCAATGTTAACAGAAACTCAATGATGATATTAAAAAACAGTAAACAAAAACTTTATTGACTTATGCAGTCCAAATGAGATTATCTCACTTTTCCACCTGTTCAATCGTCCATTTGATGTTGTTATTATTTATATATTTACTTTCGAAATATATCTGAAAATTTATGCGCCAGGTGATTTGAATATCTTAGTTTAGATCTTTTGTGTATTCCAACGTCGTGTTGTTATCCTGCACCATTTTCTACATTGGGTTTGTTCTGACGATCTGTAGGTACAGCTGCTTCCTGGTCTGACATATACTCTGCTCCCATTGATCGACGGGATTGGGCACCAGAACAATAAGACTCCGTGTCGTACATGTAATTATGTACAGGGCCAACTTCCCTGTCTATTCCTTGGCATGCCCAACAGCCCCCCATATTTAGCTAGAAATGTGAAGACAAATTTCCTTGAAAATATGAAAGTAAATAGGTAGCATAATAATAATAATTATTACAAAACAGATATTACAGTAAACAAACAAAACATAACCAGGGTAAAGATTCTTAGTATCAGACTTCTTTTTCACTTTACTTTCAATTGCCTGATTTGATTTTTTTCTAAATAATATAAAAAACAAAATTGCAATTGCAATACTATTTTTACTGTATAATTGTTTTGAACGGGGGATTTTGTAATTCTGTTTTCATTTTTGACCTATATATCTCACAAGTTCTTGGGAGCATAGATTACATTTTTTCACTAGGAAATTCTATATGCACACAGATTATATCTCAATACGGAAAATAAAACTCTACTCATAATTAGATTATAGGGTTAGTATCACTTAATATCATTTAAATTTCGGTTGACACATATTTATGAAGTGACAGCAACCCAACGACAAAAATACCCGAAAGAAATGTAGAGGACAACAAACAACCTTTAGTAATAGAAATTTATTGGATCACTGACCTCGTTTTCGATTAGTAACGTCATCTGTTTCACAGAATTCGAAAATCGAGACATATAGATATGTTTATGTTTATGATAATATTTCATAAAAAGCTTAATTCACATAAAAATTACTTGTTTGTTAACCTTAGTGTCTGTAGAAATTATGTTATTTTTATTATCAACTTTTTTATGAAAATTGATAACGGAATGATGCGAAACCCAATTTCCCGCCTTTTAAACTCTAAAATAACAGAATAAATTGAAGACAATTAAAACACTTAAGTACAAAATGTGCAAGACTAATTTGATCATTCATTTAATGAAAGATACGCCGAAAGCCATATCTCAATTTTTACTTTTGTGGTGTTTGATATATGCGCTTTTTTACATCACACATAAAAATATAGTACAAGGTAAAACATCTTCTTGTTTGTGTGACACGATTCGATATTAAACAAAATGAATAAAATGTTATTTTCATTTAAACAGATCAACAATCAACAATAAAAAAAAGTAAAATTGTAATTCTAATATGAAAGCGTAAAATGTAATATTTGCAATTCTAGATTACTAGAACATTATAAAGCAACATCCAATCCATTGTCATACGTGATGCTTTAGTACATATACAAAAATAGGGAGAAGTGGTATGATTGCCAATGAGACAACTATCCACCAAAGTTCAAATGAAGTGGGTGTAAGCAATTATAGGCAACCGTACGGCCTTCAACAATGAGAAAAATCCCAGTTTAAGCTTAAAAAACCTATATGACCATTGCAACTATTGATCGATTTGATAATGGATACGTTAATCCTAGTGACATATATTACATTCATGTTCAATATGATTAAATATAAAAAAGGAGATGTGGTATGATTGCCAATGTGACAGCTATCCACGAAAGTTCAAATGACATAAAAGTTAAAAGCAATTATAGATCACTGTACTGCCTTCAACAATGAGAAAACCCGTACTGTATAGTCAACTATAAAAGGCCCCGACATGAAAAATGTGGAACAATTCAAACAAGAAAAAAAACTGCCTGATTTATGTACAAAACAATAAACGAAAAACAAATACAGCAACAAACGACAACCACTGAATTACAGGGTCCTAACTTGGGACAGGTACATATATAATGTGGTGGGATTAACCATGTTTGCGGGCGCCTAAACCCTCCCCTAACTTGGGACAGTGGTATTAAAGCACGACATAAGAACAAACTATAAAAATCAGTTGAAAAAGATTTAACTCATCAAACAAAACAAAGCACGAAATCAACAAACAAACAAAATAAAGACACAAATAATATATATCAAAATATACTCGCAGTAACTGGAAGTTAGTTCAAAGCCAATAACAATTATATACAAAAATCATGTATAATTTGCCTTCTTAAAAGTCTTAGTAAAAGCCTTTGGTATGGGTTTTGCTCATTGTTGAAGGCTGTACGGTGACCTATAGTTGTTCACTTCAATGGCATTTGGTCTCTGGTGGAGAGTTGTCTCATTGGCAATCATATCTGTATTCGATAGAAATTTAGCAGTTATTCTCGGATGATGTCCTACAAAATATTAAAACTCTCCATCTTTTGATAGAATAAATGAACTATTTCAATAAGTACAGTTAATGAAGAAATATAATTCGTTTTCTACACATATTTACACAGTCAATCATCTTCTGTCTGAACCTTAGTTGAAGAATGCCACAATTCTAAATTATAATTGTCTAACAGTATGTAAAGGCAATGATTAAAACTGTCTACACTACATAGGAAGAGCTAATATTGCAATTATTCGTTAAATGTAATTTTTCAAAATTATAACTTACTTTTAACGAACAAGGAACAAAGAAAGGAATTCCACGACGGCAAGTAAAATCAAGATTAAAAAACCGATTGACAATACAAGTTTCAAAAGTAAAGGACGAACACTTAACTAGTAGTCCACTTCATTGCACAATAAGTGTTAAAGATTGAACAACATGATAACCCCCATCAAAAGCGTAAAACAAACCTAAGATGGTCACAAGTGCCATGGAAGGGGTAGCAGTTCTAGTTTCACACGTAACAACAGTGTTACTCGTGACAGAAGCAAATTTTTATATGTTTCTTGTCTAAACCTGGAACTACCAAATTCCCGAACATTTGGTAAACTCTCATATCCTTAATTATGACCGAATGTGAACCTTTGGAATGAAAATACGAGCTTTCGTTTATAAGTTCAGTAATGAATTCTTTTTTTTTTATTTATTCACATTATATAGTTTTTCGCTTTTCTGTTTTGTTCAGTTGTTTTTTTGTTTTGTTTTTTTAATAATTGTTACGTTGTGACAAATTCGATAGAAAACCTCTTAGCAAGGAAGATTACAATCATAACCATCAGGATTTACATAACTTTGATATAATTTAATGGTTTGTTATATTTCAGTTAGCTTAGTTGTTTTCCATTGGTGTCATTGTGAGTACTCCATGAATCAAATCTAAAGCAAAATGTCACACACAGTATTTTCTATTTTTGTTTGATCTGCATGGCTAGATTGAATAATCGGTCATTCTTCTATCCAGGAGCAGTATTGTCATTTTGTCCGTTTTCTTTATTTGTATCTTCTTGTTGCACAGCAGTTTCTTGACCTTCTGTATATGCAGCTTTCAGTGAATGGTGAGACTGGTCAGCAGAGTATGAAGCCTCACAAAGGTCAACGTGCTTACTAGCCTGACAACCCATCGAAATATGTGTTTACTTTACCTGCAAATAACTGCAAGTTTTAAAAGTTCTGATTTGTAGATCTTTGCAGTCGATAACATTACATTGACTTCCTTTTGATCTTGAAAATGAGGTATGCTGCTGGCCATTTTCTGTTGTTTCGTACATGGATAATCATTTCAATCTTTCAAGTAGTTTTTTTTCCATATCCATATAAAATTACCAACGGCCTAACAAAACAACAAAACAACAAACGACAAAACAAGCACGACGAACAACAACAAACGACAAAACAAGCGTGACGAACAGCAAAAAACGACAAAACAAGCGTGACGAACAGCAACAAACGACAAAACAAGCCTGACGAACAGCAACAAACGACAAAACAAGCGTGACGAACAGCAACAAACGACAAAACAGACAAAAACAAGCATGACGAACAGCAACAAACGACAAAACAAGCGTGACGAACAGCAACAAACGACAAAACAAGCGTGACGAACAGCAACAAACGACAAAACAAGCATGACGAACAGCAACAAACGACAAAACAAGCGTGACGAACAGCAACAAACGACAAAACAAGCGCGACGAACAGCAACAAACGACAAAACAAGCGCGACGAACAGCAACAAACGAAAAAACAAGCGTGACGGACAGCAACAAACGACAAAACAAGCATGACGAACAGCAACAAACGACAAAACAAGCGTGACGGACAGCAACAAACGACAAAACAAGCGTGACGAACAGCAACAACCACTGAATTACAAGATCCTGGCTTGGGACAAATACATACATAATGTGTTGGCGTTACACATGTTTGTGAGCGCTCAACATTCCTCCTAATCCGGGACAGTAGTGTAACAGTAGAACCTAAGAATAAACTGTAGAAGTCAGTTCGAATTGGCTTGACCTATCAGATTTGCAGAAGCACAAAATCAACTAAAATAAAGACAAAAGACACAAAGTACTGATCTAAGAGCACAATCAGTACACATCCAACAGATTCAGTGTACGGACGTCCTAAACAGTCTGAGAAAAGATCGACCTTATGAAATGCCAAAATATAATTACATAATATCGACAGGATGTCGGACCACATCTTTTCAAGAATGTATAGCAATCCACATCAATCAAAATCAAAGTAAATGCCAGTACCGACAAAAACAACATCCAAAAATATCACTATAACCTGCAAACCGACATCCCCCAAGAACAATTGTATATATAGAACCGATGACAATCCATACAATAAGGATAAATCTAAGTTCGGATTTGTGCGGGATCGTGATGTTTTTCTTTTGTCAGCTGCTCTCCTTTTGTAGTATTGATCGAAAAAACAACAGACTGTCGGAATTCCAATGGGAACCAATTGTGCCCCTCTTCTTGCCGACTTGTTTCTTTATTATTATGAGGCTGACTTCATACAGGAACTTCTTAGGAAGAAAGATAAGAAGTTAGCAATATCCTTTAACTTTACGTCCCGCTATATAGATGATGTTTTCTCACTAAATAATACAAAATTTGGTGACTATGTTGAACGAATCTATCCCATCGAACTAGAGATAAAGGATACTACAGATACAGTTAAGTCTGCCTCATATCTTGACTTACATCTAGAAATTGACAATGAGGGTCGGTTGAAAACAAAACTTTACGACAAAAGAGATGATTTCAGCTTCCCAATTGTGAACTTTCCATTTCTATGTAGCAACATTCCAGCAGCGCCTGCATACGGAGTATATATCTCCCAATTGATACGATATTCCCGGGCTTGTATTTCCTATCATGATTTCCTTGATAGAGGATTGCTGCTCACAAGGAAGCAATTAAACCAAGAGATCCAAATGGTGAAGTTGAAATCATCCCTTAGTAAATTTTACGGACACCATCACGAGTTGGTTGACCGTTATGGAATAACCGTTTCACAGATGTTATCGGATATGTTCCTTATGTCGTAACTACAATACCCTTCCCTTTTCACGAATGTGACCTACCGAATTAGACTATTTACCGGATTTGTAATAACATAAGCAATACGACGGGTGCCACATGTGGAGCAGGATCTGCGTACCCTTCCGGAGCACCTGAGATCACCCCCAGTTTTTGGTGGGGTTCGTGTTGTTTAGTCTTTAGTTTTCTATGTTGTGTCATCTGTACTATTATTTGTCTGTTTGTCTTTTAAAAAGATAAAAAAAATAAAAAAAATATTTTTGGCCACGGCGTTGTCAGTTTGTTTTCGATCTATGAGTTTGACTGTCCCTCTGGTATCTTTCGTCCCTCTTTTATTATAACGACTATGATTTCATTCATTTGAAGGGAAAAGAAATCTAATTGTAATATTACACAATGTGTAGGTTTTCATATTTCATTACACATGTACAATTCACATACGCAAATGAAACAACTGTACATAGCTTTTACAGCACATGGACTTGAGTGTGTAGGTGAAGGTAGTATCTTTGGTTAGCTTGCTTTCTATCTGAACCATGAAATCATTCTTAGATAAAGGTACTACCTTCCTTTGGGCGGAGTCAATCATTATAGTTGAGTAGAGAATTAATCAATAGTAGGGACAGTACATAATCATTGTGAAACCAGTTTTACAAGTCCGTTTAAAAATAAGTTTTCAATCTAAAGGACAAGGTATGATAAGGGGCGTTTTTGATTCCCTCTTCAAATAAGTTTATATTAATATCATTGATGGTCTTAGTTTAGAAACTTGAAAAAACAATAATGTTATTGTGTTCCGGTGAAAGGAAGGTTGCCTAGCAACTGTTTTTATCAAATATCAAAATTATCAGATATTAATTGCTTTTAATTATCAGAACAAATTAGATCAATTCCAAATAATATTCTTTGTTGGAGAAGAACTTGAAGTCACAAATGAATAGTTCCTTTGATTTCGTTTACTATATGTTTAAAAACAACATAGGAACAGAATTTTTGCCTAGCAACGGTTCAAAAATGGGTGTTTTCCCATTCTAAAGTATGAATTTAGCAGTTGTTTGAAACTTTTCTTTTCCATATGGTGTTGCATTCCAATATACTATCCTAGTCATCATTATCCTTTTTAACAAATTCCGTATTGAGCATAGCAGCACAAATGAAATGTCAATTGTAAGCTAATTCACAAGCATGGTGTAGGTGTGTTTGATTTGTCAATTTCATTTTAATCAAAACATAACAATACATTTTTATTGACTCCGCCCAAAGGAAGGAAGTACCTTAGCTAATAATGATTTCATGGTTCAGCTAGCAAGCAAGCTAACCAAAGATACCACATTTACCTACACACTCAAGTCAATGTGCTGTATCACAAATAGAAACATTCAGGAATCTGATGTTCAGTAGTTGTCGTTTGTTGATGTGGTTCATAAGCGTTTCTCGTTTCTCGTTTTTTATATAGATTAGACCGTTGGTTTACACTAGTAATTTTTCGGGCCGTGTTGAAGACCGTACTTTGATATATAATGGTTTACTTTTATAAATTGTGACTTGGATGGAGAGTTGTCTCATTGACACTCATACCACATCTTCTTATATCTATTTCATCTATGATTGTATAAAATGGACGTTGTAATACGAATAAAATTAACTATGCATGAGTAATTATAAATTATTACATGGCATTTTCCATATTTGCCATGGTATCAGCCCGAGACTCCCAAATCAATCCAGAGGGCGTAGACCGAGGGCTGATATGGGTCGATGGCTGATACCAGGGCCAATATGGAAAATGCTATGTAATGATCTATTTATCACATATTTAATTTATTGTTTTTGATCGACAGGTTTACCAGAAGTTAAATTTGGGGGCTCAATTTTGCTATTTAAGGGCAAACATCGATATATTGGCCTCGGGGACAAATAACCGACTCCGACTTCCGGCTAATATTGGACATGCAAAAACGTACATATTATAATTAAATAATATGGACTGTTTTGATTATTTAATAAAAGTGTTAAGAACTTGTTCATTCTGTATTGGCCCTGTATTGATTCTCGGTCGACTGTATTGGCCCTCGGCCCTACGGCCTCGGGACCAATACAGCAGACCTTGAATCAATACATGGGCCAATACAGAATCAGCAAGTTAGTAACACTATAGTACAAAACATGTGATAATGTTTGTTATTTTAGATATGATACTTTATCGCTATTTTACGAATTTTTCCTTTGATCTTGATAACTGATAATTTCCGTTCTCAGCGGAGTCGAGTGATATGAAAACGGAGTCGAGTGATATGAAAATTATCGCTAGAAACTAAGGGAACACGTGCCGTTGTCAAGGAAATTAACAACGTCTTCATAGGTAAAATAGCGATAAACAGGTTATCATTGGTCATCTCAACTCGATTGCTTTTCTCACTTTCGCCGTACCGGCTCAAGCGAGAAAATCAATCTCGTTGAGATAACCAACGATAATCTATAATTATCAATAAGAATTTATGATAATTAACATATGAAAGAAAATAGATATTATCGAACCACTGGAAAACCCTACTAGTCTAAAAACGTTATTTAATTTAGATCACAGCTCATTCAAGCAATAAATTAAGATAAACAGTATATATAATAATAATAATGTTCTATATTTGGATTCTGTCCCACAGGTAAAATATTCTATATTTAACACACCTGTCATAATTTCATATTTTAATTCCAAATAGAAGTATTTGGATTCGATATTTGATTAATAAAAAACAAATCGTTCTTGATCATTTCTGTTTATGTGCACATTTACTTACCGTTTATTCGACCACACTTTACTTTGTTGACACTATAATTATGATAGATGTTGACTGAACGTTCTTCATAAATTGTTGATTGTTTATTCATGTTGCTAGGCATTTAATTTTAATTAAAAGAAATTTATGGTTGACTGAGAAGTTACATTTGTTATTGTGAATGCTGTCTGTTGATTGATTAAGTGATGCTATAACTTTAAAACATCTGTTAACCGAGGTGACTATATTAACTGCCACGAACAGTAATCATGGCCATTTCCAAAGATAAGTAAACTAAGAAATGATTCCTCTAACTTTATTATTCAGATTATTGCAAAAAATGCGACTGGATAGGTTTTGCAAAAATAAAAACTGGTATTTAAAATTTGGTTTTCATTATTTGCATGCAACATTTTCAAATTGCAATAATTAATCTTGCAATGTTTTATTCATTGTTCAAAATATTAAATGCAAGCAGGATTTTATAAACTACCAGAGACTCGATTTGGGTCTGTTTACCTTGGCCATGAAAATTGCTGCGTCGTTGAGAATGCGAAAAACTTTAAATTAAATTTTGACGTTTACCTTTGTGTCCAATGTAAACCTTCCTGAATCACACTATTACTACGCAGAAGGGTACTATTTATAGTGGTACCTTTGGGCACCTTTCAGCGCAACTATTATCCTTGTGCGAATCTGTTACGAGATTTACGATTTGAAAGCGTGTCAATATTTGGTCATTTGTTACGATGATAGCTAAGGCTTTGCATGTCGCCGATAACTGCATGTTCCACTCAAATAAAGCTTTTGTAGATTATGAAATTGCAAATTTGGAAAGCGACACTGGTAACTGTTTCACATCTGTCTAGATCAAGTTCTAGAAGGCCATTGTTTATCCAGAAGTATTTGTATTGCTTTGTCGAGAACGATATCCTTGCATCATATTTGTAACTGTGTTAAAATTGATGTTTTTCTGGGAAAACTCTCGAAAATCAATGTGTTTTGTGATGAAACAAGGTCGTTTTAATATACAACAATGTAAAACAGAAAACCGTTGAAGTTTCTTCATTTAGGAACAGATTGATAAAATATATTGTAGTCTGTCAAAGTCAACACTTGTTGTATAACCTTATTAAATTAACCAGGCTTATAATTTTGTACGCCAGAAGCGCGTTTCGTCTACAAAAGACTCATCAGTGACGCTCGAATCAAAAATGTTAAAAGCCAAATCAAATACGAAATTCAAATTGAAAAGCATTGCGGTTCCAAATCAAAAAGGTGTTGCCAAATACAGCCGAGGTAATTTATTCCTGTGGCAGAAAATGTGAACGACTCGAGTTCCCTTTAATATTCCAATGATCGTGCGTCGTGTCGTTATAGTCCCGATCTGTAACACATAAAAGAAGAATTCTAAAATTAGCAAAAATTGTGTGATTAATTGTCAAAGTTTATATGAATAAGTGTTGTTTCTAAATGACAAACGAAATGCTTTATATTTTTTTATCATTTTTGTTTAATTGTTCTTCACCCATTGCTTGATAATATCCCTTGGTAACCCCTAACGACCTCCATAAAAGATCAGACAAAGTGTTAACGAAAATGTAAACAAGTCGAGCGCACCTTCAACCCCCCTACCAGATCGACTAGAATCTTTATTATTACAGTTATCAACATATCTAAACAACGTTAGTCAGAAACTTGAAAAGAGAATTGACGATCTTGAGACAAACTTTGAGGAAAGAGTATCTGAAAAATTATCAGAGAAAATTTCAATTATGATTGATAACAAACTAAAAGAAAAGATAGACGAAGTTAAACAAGAAGTGAAAACGGATATTCAACATATGCAGTCAAAGATCGATACATTAGAGAAAACAATTGCTGAGTCTAAAGTTAATAATAAATCGTCTGAATCACGTAAAACAAATTGGTTATTAAGAACTTAGAATTCGACGAAAATGAAACTAGCAATACAGATATAACTGCACACAAAGTTCAAGCACTTTTAAAAGATGGTCTTGCCTTGTCTAACATCACATTAAAATCTGTCGAAAGAAAAGAGAGCAACGGTAAAAATGCAAAAGCAGGGGTGGTCATAGTAGAGGTTGAGAGTTATGAAAATAAAAGAGAAATTATGAAAAACAAACGAAACTTGAGAAGCAATAGAAAGTACAAGGATGTTTACATAGAAAATGATTTATCAATAGAAACCAGAAATTTTCAAGCTACAGTACGAACCGTGTTAAAAGAAATTGGTACCAAAAACAGTTATAGATTTGCCGGAAATCGTCTGATAAAAAATGAATAGGGAATTTTGCGGCTTGGTGTATGGAATTGTAGGGGGTGGTCGCTAAAACCTAACGATAATGCAATATTTAGAAAGCGTATTCTTGAGTATTCTAAATGTGATGTTCTAGCTTTAACAGAAACATTTTTGCGTAGAGAAGAAATTTTAAATGTTGAAGGATACAAGTTTTATGGACATAATAGACCCACTTTTCACAAAAATGCAACACGCGGATCTGCCGGTGTTGGTGTTTTAGTAAAATATAATATCCTTGATTCATTCCATGTGGATTTGATTGATTCTGAATTTGAAGGAATAATGTGGTTGAAATTTAAATCAAAATTATCAAATTTTACATTAGTATTAGCTGTATGTTATTTACCACCAGCCGAATCATGTAGAGCGTTAGATTCGGACTTATACTTTCAAAACTTATTACAACAAGTGTATGTTTATCAAAAATTGGGAAGAGTTATGATTTGTGGAGATCTGAATGCACGTGTTGGCCAAAATGGTGATTATGTGGAAGGAGTTGATATTCTTAGGCCTAGAAATATTGTAGATTCTTCTGAAAACCGTCAAGGTGACAAATTCATAAACTTTTTGTGTGATGTAAATTTTGCCATTTTGAACGGCCGTTTTAATGATCACGAATTTACGTACATTTCACCTTTAGGTCGATCAGTTGTTGATTATATGTGTGTTCCTTATGAGGAGCTGGAATATATACGTGATTTTAAGATTATAGCTATGTCAGATGTAATAAACAATATTAATTATGTTCCCGACAAAATTCCCGATCATTCAATACTTGTCTGTGAAGTTGCATTAGAGTCTGAAAACTTAATCAATAATACAGATGATCAGAACAATAGTAATTCAAATTGGAAATTTAAACTGTCAAACGTTCCACATGACTTCCTTAACGACCCCGAACTATCACACAGAATAAACGAAACGCTTGAGAGAATAGAAAATTCATTGCGTGTAACGGAAAATGTACAATCTGCTTATGATGAATTTCAAACTTTAGTGCACAGCGAAATGAACAACAAATTACCAAAGATCATGTTTAAAAATGGCATTAACAAACGTAAAAAGTCTCTGTATAAACCATATTGGAATGATGAATTAACTGAACAATGGAAGAAAGTGTGTGAATCCGAAAAAAGATGGTTAAAGTTTCAAGGTCCCAATAATACGAAACGTAAATATAAATCAGACTTTCAGGAAGCACGTAAAATATTTGACAAACTAAATCGAAAGCACAAGCGGAAATATATAAAAGAAGAACAAATTAAACTCGAACAATCACTCAATGCGTCCAAGAAAACAGATTTCTGGAAAACAATAGGGAAAATCGGTATAGTGAACGAGCGAAAACTAAACATTCCGTGGGCGGTTATAGATGAAAATGGTAACGTTAAAACTGATCAAGATAGTGTACTGAACAAATGGAAAGAAGATTTTGAAAAGCTATTTATAAATGATGAAATTACACAAACCGATTCATGCGATCAAGATACTATTAACGGTCAGATAGACGTAACAAATCTCAACGTAGGAATTACTAGAGAAGAGGTGAAAGTGGCTATCGCTCATGCAAAAAATAGAAAGGCCGTAGGAATTGATGACATTCCCGCCGAAGTTTTGAAAAACGAGGTCGCAGTTGAATTGTTATACAGAATTATCAGTGGCTGTTTTGAGTTAGGTCATGTTCCAGAACAGTGGACAAATGGCATTATCAACCCTATACCGAAACCTGGAATGAACGACAACAGGTGCCCACTAAACTATCGTGGAATTACCCTTATATCTGTACCATGCAAGATATATTGTACCATTCTAGATAATCGTTTACGAAAATGGCTTGAAGAAAATGAATGTCTATGTGACGAGCAAAATGGATTTCGCCGAGGAAGGAGTTGTGAGGAACATATTTTTACTTTATATTCAATTCTAAATGACAGGAAAATTAGTAGAAAATCTACATATATATGCTTTGTTGACATGAAAAAGGCTTTTGACACTGTCAGGCGTGATTTGCTATGGTACAAACTTCAAACAATTGGGATACGGGGGCAATTTCTTAACGCAATAAAATCACTTTATGAGGATGTTCGATGCGCAGTTAGAGTCAATAGAGAGCTTACCCCCTGGTTCCAAGTGTCTTCCGGTGTAAAACAAGGCTGTATTCTTTCGCCAACTTTATTCTCGATTTATATTAACGATTTGGCAGAAAAGATAAAGGCATTAAATTGTGGTGTTAAATTTAACGAAGAAATCATAAACATTCTTCTTTATGCGGACGATATTGCACTTATAGCGCCCGACGAACAGAGCCTGCAACGAATGCTTGACACTTTAACGGACTGGTGCTCGTCTTGGAAATTGTCCGTGAATCCAGAAAAGACTAAAGTGGTACATTTTAGACCTCAATCGTTTAACTTGACGTCATTCCAATTCAAATGCTCAAGCAACGACATTTTTATTACTGATTCGTATAAATATTTAGGAATATGGTTGGACGATCACTTAACGTTTGATAAAACAACGAAAGAACTATCAAAGTCGGCTAGTAGAGCTCTCGGTGCGGTTTTCGCAAAATTTATTTCATCAGGCGGTATGTCGTACAAAGTATTTACAAAACTCTATAATTCAATGGTGGAGCCAGTATTGATGTACGGGAGTGCCATATGGGGAACAAAATCATATACCGTTATAAACACTGTCCAAAATAAGGCATGTAAATACTTTTTGTCCGTTGGTAAAAATACGTCAAACATTTCGACACGTGGTGATATGGGATGGCT